ACAATGCAAAGAGAGGGCTTTTCTTTCTATGACCATAGACCTAGTCATAGTTCTTCAAGCACTCACATCCAATCAGAGACCCAAGAATTCAATTTTGAGTCAGTAAACAGTCCCATGAAATAAGATTTCAGCATTAAAGCTTTTTAAAAAAGTCTTAAACTGGACCTAAGAGGAACCTATATTATTTAACTTGTTCAGGGCATCTTCCACACCAGAGATCAGACAAGAAGTAGAGCACTGCTGGTAATGGTGATGCTTGGTGGGCTTCTAACCTTGCCTTTTGGCAAGAATGAAAATTCAGATCAAGATATATATCAACACAGATAGATCAACTTAGGAATGGCAATTTGGCCACAGACGGAAAATTCATCTAAGGGCAATACCTAACAGGTTCCCATGAGGCAACAACCAACCTCTAATTAATAAAGTTTTGCTACAGATGCCAAGAAGGTATGGCTACGCACACAAGAAATTTATGGGTACCAAAATGCCCAAATATGCATTTGCAGAATATCTTTTATTGTATGATTAAAGGTTGTTAAGTCAAACTGTATCACAATATATTTCTATGAATTTTTTTTACTAGATATTTATTTTGATACTACATTTAATTTCTGAAGCATGATAACAAATGAATTTCATGATTTATTATGACGGGACTCAAATATCTAGAAAAAATGAGGTAATTTCTCCATAAACAAGGGGGGGGGACAACCTTTATATATAAACATATATCATATAATTACAAATGATACTTATGATTTTATTGTCTTTATATCTAAATTATATTCACTTAAATCAGTTGAATCAAGAAAAKCAAAAACTAAATTCAGCTCTTATTTCAGAAAAATCTAGATTTGTGACCAAATGATTTGGTTTTAAACTCATTTCACTAAAAAGTTTCTGCTTTGTTTGTTTTGTAGGCAAATTATATTGTGCTTCAGTTTCTTCATCTGTATTAGGAGAATAACACTGGCCCTGCCTACCTACCCAACAGGGATCACACAGGGATCAAGAGAGAATGCTTTGTAATTGATACCAGGGGAGCTTCCTGGTACCACCACAATACTCCCACACCCTTCCTGCTCCCTCCTGCCCAACAGAGGCAGCCCAAGCTGTTATATGATCTATGCACTACAGTTCCACATAAGAGCCGGGATGCAAAAGTGTGAAAAAGCTCTACTACACTATAGCAGTTTCCTCTCACGGACACCTTTAAAAAACCATCAGACATTGTACAATTACTATAAAAATTATTAAAAAAGTATCCATAGACACATAGAAAACTACTTCAATAATGACTGCTGGCTGATCAAATTGATTCAACTAGAATACTTGAGACATTTTTAATGAAATTGATGAGTGAAATTATTCTATAGAAATTCCCACATAGATTGAAAATAATTATGTTACAATTACATAATTATTAGCAAGTCTGAAACACAATTATAGCTGTGTTTAATACAAAGAATATTTTGAAACAGCTTTGGATATTAGGAAGATTGCATTTAAAAAATACAAGCCTCCTTGTATAGTCTGGCAAGTAGGTGACAGCAGTGCTGTAGACACACATTCTAGGCTGAGCAACAGTATCAGCTTGGCAAAATTCCAAAAACAAAACACTGTGGGATAGATGCAAGATTAAGAAATTTGTTTTGCTTTACTGTTACTGAGGGCTGAGTGAATATAAAATTAAAAGACTCTCTGAGATACGGTAACAGATCAGCTTCTGCTCCAGAGAAATAAAATAATGGACTGAAAATCCATGCTGGTCTGTCCATGCTACATCAGGTTTTCATGATCCTCAAGAGATTTCATGAGCAGCAGTTACTATCTCCTGCACTTACATTTTACTCATAGCTTTTATCTTGGTGCTTCCAATGTGGACATTCTCTAAAGTTTATTTACTCTGTTGGATTCACAGCAGAGACTTCAGCACCACAGCAAAGGGGGTGACACGTAAAACCACAATCCCAAATCAAAGAACGAGCATGGACTTACTGGCATGCAATTACACTGAACTCCCAAGAGAACATGAAATAATTTGGCTTCACTAAATCCTTCCTTCCCTTTTATGTTTGCATTTATTTGTAGAATATAAAGTGCTGGCAAAATCCTGGCCAGCATCAGTTTCCTTGTTTAGAAAATTGTCATAACTTTCTTAGCCAGCTGCCACACAGAGGAATGTCTGCATTAAGAAAACCCAGATTTATAAAATAGATCAACGGGTAATTACAACAGGATTTACAGCAATTTCCCTTAAACAGAAGATCTCATTTTTAAAATGGTGTTTGACTTATAATTTTCTTCTAGAACACAGCTAATGCATAATGTGAAATAGAACACCAGTCCCTGAAACTGAATTATTTAAAAGATTTTTGTACAAAGAATTTTAGAATCCTATACTAAAGTAACTTCACATAAATTACAAATTCTAGACGATGAATAAGAGCTAGTATACCTAACCAGGATTAAGATGGTACAATCTCATATGTAATTCCTAAGATAAATTCTAGAAAATATCTCGAAATTTCTATTTTTTAAGAATGCCTAAAAAGTTCATTTTGTGGCTTTAATTCCACTAAAACAATTTAGATAACCTAATCAATAATTGTAAGGAAACATAACATACACTTTCAATTGCAAATCACATCATTCATTAGTAAAACTTCAAAAAAAAATGCCTAGTAGAACCAATATTTAACCATTTATTTCTTAATGAACAATCCAATCATCAGCTGGGACTCCAAATCTGCCAGAGATGGCATTTAGACCAAAGTGCTCAGTACCATTCTCCTCCCTTACACTTTAAAATACATCTGGTACAATCAAGAGCATCCCTCTTTACATAGCCCCTTCTCCAAGTCCTCCAGAATTTCAAGGGTCAGAGGCATGGCAATGACACTGGCAAACAGTCACAATCAGTTCTAGAGTGAACCCAAGGAACTAAGAATGGGTCATGAAACCTGAGTTTTACTTTTAAAACTAGTAGTGATCTTTCTTTGCCAGAAATTTTAGCATTTTTGCATCATGGTTAAAGGAGACTGCTCAGTAACAAAAAGTAATCTTAGTTTCAATTACCCAGTGTTCTAGGGACTATTTTTGGATAATAAAAAATTCTTTACAAAGTTGAAATAAAAAATTCACACGTAAAATTCTGTTCTGACAGTTGCTTGATGTATGTGCTCTCAATGACACAAAACCACCCAATGATGGATTTAAATCAGAGGATTTTTCACAAGAAATACCAATTGATCAAAATGGCAAAGGTTTCCAAGTACACGCAGTAGCCTGCACAGGAATGATTCATGTAAGAGGCATCTATCTACACTGTATACAGGAGACATTGCACTTGGGCTTCAACTACTAGCTCCCTATCATTCAGTACTTGATTTTTATATTCCTAGAGCCTGCCAACATCCCCCTATGTGAATATGTGAGTTACTTTCATTCAAGCCTTTACTAAGTTCTATAGACTGACAACTCAAAATGTGTACTTCAATCTCAGGCTCTTCTCCAAGCCTCCTATCTCATTTTTTTAGTCACCTACTCTATTCCTGTTTCCCAGTTAATACCCATGCTCCAAACTGAATTCTGAATAGGCTCCACTGTAAATCTTTTCCCCTCCAAACTTTCTCATCTTCAAAACTAGCATTACTGTGCACACTGCTGCATAAGGCAAAACCTTGAATGGTTTCCTCTTCCTCCTTATTCTTCAGCACCTTACGAGCAATGCAGAGGCAAACACTGTCAATTCTACTTCTATACTATGCCTCAGATACTATACCCACCCACTTTTCTCCATCCTCAGCAGCACCATTCTTGTTCAATTCACCACCACCTCATGCCTAGAAATTTCTGAACTATTCTGTTCTTGTCTACTTTTGTTGCCTCATAATTGATTCTCCAATAAGAGTTGGGGCAATCTTTTTAAACTAAAATTAGATCACATCACACTTTTGACTTAAAACCCTTTAAGGAGGCTCAACTGCACTGTAAATAAAACCCATTTCATGACATGCTCTCTGAGGTCCTACCCAGTTTGATCCCTGTCCATCAGTCTATAATCTTATCTTAGGCCACTGTTCTCCATGCTGACAACACTTCAGCCAGGCTGGTGTTCTTACAGTTACTTAACAGTCTCTGATGACCCTTCCCTAGATCTTTACCCACATTGTTGCTTCTGCATGATCACTCTTTGATCTTTTCAGACTCTTCAGGTCTTGCTGAAATGGCATCTTCTAAGAAAGGCTTTTCCATCAGGCACAGTGGAACATGATTATAATCCCAGTGGCTTGGGAGGCTGAGACAGGAGGACCTTGAGTTCAAAGCCAGTCTCATCACAAAGTGAGGCAGTAAGCAACTCAGTGAGACCCTGTCTCTAAATAAAATACGAAAAATAGGGCCAGGGATGTGGCTCAGTAGTGGAGTGCCCCTGAGTTCAATCCCTGGTACTGCTCCCCTCAAAAAAAATACACAAAAAAGGACTTTCCCCACCTCTAAAGCTCTGTTTTAATATTTGTTACTATAGTCTGTTCTTTTCCTTCTTAACACTTATTAAAAAATGATTTTATAATTATATCTACTTGTTTATATATGTCTTTTTGGTAGAAAATAGGCACACATTTTTAAAATTTATTCTAATCTGTTATATTATGACAGCAGAATGTAATTCAATTCATATTGTACATACAGAGCACAACTTTTCATGTCTCTGGTTGTACACAAAGTAGAGTCACACCATTTGGATATTTGTTTTTTGGGGGGGAATGGCTTACTTCACTTAGCATTATGTTCTCCAACTCCATCCATTTACCTGAAAATGCCATCATTTTATTCTCTTTCAATGCTGAGTAATATTCCATTGTGTATATATACCACATTTTCTTTGTCCATTCATCTGGCACATCCACTTTTTAACTGGATGAACTAATGGACAAGTACCTTAGACAGGTTAATAAAAAATATGTCCTGGTAGCTAACATAATAAAAGATCTTACCTTTTCAACTTTTTTCTTTTTAACAGGGGGTTCAAATCTATCATTGGCTCCAAAGTACTGAGTAAGCTCCTTCCATTGGGTTTCATTTAAAGGCTGTTCACTACAAAAAGACAAAAAATCCTTTTAATCATTTTTATTTTTTCTATTTTTTAATTGGTTACTACAATTACTAGATTTTATGTTTCATCAAGATCACAGATTAGTAGTTGAGCTATTTGGACAAGTTCTACAAATACTGCCTAGAATAATTATTTTAAATCCTACTTACCTATGAGATTCTTTTTCATTCTTCAATTTATCTGAAAAGAATTTACAAAGCATTAATACTTAAGTATTTGGCTATTATTTCAAAATCATGTTTTCAAAAAATTATTTAACTGAATTAGTCACAATTTAGCACTGACACTATGGACAATGTGAACATAAATCAAAAAACAAAACAAAAAACCTTTTCTGGAGCGTTTTCTCTTTTTCCCTCTGAATCTTGAAGTTGAGATTTTCTGTTCAGAATGTTTTTTATGCAATTCTTGAAATTTCTATATGAAAATGAAAATAAGAAAAAAAAAAGAAACTGAGAAACAAATATATTTTGAAGAAAAACATGCATTTAAAAATCTAAATGAGTTAAGTAATAAAAATATTTATATTCAGGCATTTATAAAGATGCCAACTCAATGAAAACAGAGCTCTTGAGATACTGTACTCCCTGAAGATATAACCTGAGTTTTGAAGTTCATTTGTTTTGATAAAAACTGTTTAATATTGAGACTGAAGCTTGATAACTCATAGATAAAGAGATTAAAATGAAGTTAGAAACTCCTCATATACCACATCAGGCAAAATAGTTAATTCCTTCCTCTTTTTATGAAAAACAAAGTAAAAATGAAAAGCACCTAAGTGGCTGATTACTCAAAGGACAGTCAAAGCACTCAGAGCCCACCTTCCCTGTCTGCTTCATCACAACATTCACACTGACCAGGCAGAGACACTGAACACACTCGTGCACACACAGGCTTTCACGTGAGCACATTAGGAAAAACCTACATTCCACAAATTTAAGGGAATTCCAGAAGGGCATTCTTCATATGCATCTGTATTGGCCTCTGTTTCTATTTTTGGTCCATCTGCTGGGAAACTTGAGATTTCTGTGTCTCTATTAGTCCCATCCTCTTTATTTTCCTGTAAGTCGAGTTCAGACTTCTCCAGTGTGGCTTCATCTTCAGAATTTGACTCAACATCACTTTCATTTAGGCCAGGAGGCAGCAGTCCACTCCACATCTTCTAGAAGAAAAAAAAATAAATTTAGAAATAAGAAGTAGCCATGGAAACAATTATAAAATCATTTTAAAAGACACTCCTGAAGCCTAAGAAGTCTACCAATGGTCAGAGAACAGTCCGCCTAAACTTTTTTAAAATCTAAAATGTAATGCACCTTCCATATTAAAATAACTAAAACCTTCACTTGGGTAAGTTAAAAGAAAAGTTTTAAAAGTATTTGAAACTAGTTTGTTACAGCATACATTTAAAGGAAATAAGACCTCGATTTGCTAATATATAGATAATTGTATCTTGAAAAATGAAATTCAGGAAAGAAATAATTGCTCAAGAATGTGAAAAGTCCAATGACATATATTCTACAGGAAATTTAAGAATTCAAGTATTATATACCAAACTATATAGATAAACTATAGTAAAATAAAGATGGAAGTTTCACCCATGTTTGAATGCACAAAACTTTTAGGGGAATTACTGATTAAGGACCAGGGAAAAAATAATTTAAAGGATTATTTAATATGATTAAGCAGTTTGAAGAAGGTATAATAGAAAAAGAACACCAGAGTTTTCCATTTTAAAGCACTTGCTAAACTGACAATAAATGAAATATAATTCTAACTGCTTAACAAAACATAACAGCTTTTTTGAGTAACAATACTATATTTGGAAAACTAAAGTTAAAGTTCAGGATAATATTTAGCATTAGTTGTCTACTAATTGGTAGAGAGAATCACTCGTAGAGAGAACATATGCCATTGATAGAGAGAATCATTATCTAAGTTTAATAAACATCATTTCTTAAAAAAATCAGAGTTGTAATCATTTGCTAAAATCATGATAATTGAGTACATTTTCATCATTCATTTCCATGACAGACTATTTTTACGTATGTTCTGAGCCAAAACCGGTACACTCAAAATAAGTCTAAAATAGAGAAGCTGATTATACTGTTCATAATTTACTATAAATCAAAATAAATAAAATAGAAGGGCAGAAATCTGTTTTGCTGAGTTTTCTGTCAATTGTCATTAACCTAGCAAGATAATCAAAAAGACATCAGGGGATTTGGCATTAATCTCAAAAATTTTCTTTAAAGGATCTCCTCTTGGACCCAAAGAATCAGATCTTATTTGTGTGTGTGTGTGGGGGGGGGGGGGTTGGTACAGACTCATCAGTTTCTGTTTTTCTGAAACATCCTCACTAAAATACTCTTGGTTTTTTAAGAGGAAGGACTCTATTATCTAACTGCTCCAACTAGAATCCTAACTCTACCACTCACTAGTGGTACAAGCAAATCATTTACTATCTCTGACCATCAGTTTCTTTATCTGTAACACAAGGATAATTATACTGCTTATAAGGTTATTCTGAGGATTAAATGAGATAAGCCACTCAACATAGTATTTAAGAGGTTCTGGGGCTTAATAAATAGTAAGTTCCTTTTGCTATTATTATTTCTGCAGCTATGTATTACATTTTTATCATTTCTATAAATGGAAGGATTCAGAAGATAGTTTTGAAGTTTCTAATGTTTGTGGTACATTCACTTAGCAATGAATGCAAATTGTTTATTTGTGATTTCCACAGTATTGCAAAGTTTTAAATTAAAAAATATGGCATTTTGTTTTTTTGAATGGAGAACAAGAGGCAAATTATCAGGAAGTCAACAGAGCTTAAGTTTCAAGGCTCCTCATTTGCATAGGTCTTTCCAAAGCATTGAATTTAAATTTTCTATTCAGAATTTACATTCTTTGTTGTTGTTGTTGTTTTAGCAGGCCCTTAAGGCCTGTATCCATCTATTAACGGGGCCTATGGATGTTAAAGGCTGGGATTGAGTACTCTTGAGATACTTTAATAGCACAAAGGATATCATGCAAAAATATCACAATATTGGAAAACAGCTGTTATATTATTAATAAAAATATCTCTACTACTCTGAGGAGCAAGGAGAGAAAAGCAATAATAAACTCCAGCAAACTTTTTTGTCCCTGGCATAAAATAAACCTGTAGGCTCGATATCCATTTAAGAAGAGTAACAGATTTCAGATTTAGATTTCTTAGCAGCTTATGTTAGAAAGCACTGTTTCTTTTCTAGTCCACAGAATCTTTTGCATACTCATCTTGTGCCAGGTACTCCTCCAGACCTTGAAAACACAAGTATTCAAAACAAGCCAAGAATCCTAAACTTATGGAGCAACATATCTATATAAATGGCAAGTTTCTATAGATCCGCAGCCAAGTGTCACTCAGCTTGGCACCTTAAATGGTATGTGCCTCCCCAAGAAACAGTGGCAAGGTCTCCCACTAAACCTCTGTTGTAGCAGGTAAGCAGGAGCGTACATGCTTTTCCTCAACAGATTTTCAAACAGCTATCCATTTTTTATGACTCTAGGTCCTTCTGATATGGCATTAAGAACTGTCTTCACAGTTATTTATTTATTATGTTAGATATTTACCTAACATAATCTGAGTGTACCTAAAGAAAATCAACTTTAAAAAAATGCAAATCTGGGGCTGAGGTCTAGTTCAGTGGTAGAGCGCTTGCCTAGCGTATGTGAGGTACTGGGTTCGACTCTCAGCACCACATATAAATAAATGAAATAAAGACCCATTGACAACTAAAGAATATTTTTTTAAAAAGTGCAAATCTACCTGCAAATCCATAAAATAAGGCAAAATTCAAAAAAGGTATGTTTTTAAGATAGTTCTTTAAACTCTTTAACATCACATGCCCTTTTCCTGTGACTTAAAAAAAAAAAAAAAAAAAAAAGCAAGTATGTTCTGATAAACACAGAAAACTGCTGCCCCTCACTATGAAGCCTGTAATAGGGAATTGCTTCTGTGAGATGCAGCTCAACTAACTGTAAATCAGCCAATATGAAGTGGCTGCTCAGTAACTTCTGCTGTGGGCTCATGTTTGAAAACACCATCTTCTATTCATAACACAAATGTCAGTCATGCAGTTTCTAACTGGCACCATGTCTGGCCTCCTATTATTCCCATTGTGGCTGTTCTGGAGGATGACTCTCTCTTCACTAAAGTATCTCTTACCCATGCCTTTCAAAGTATATTTCTTTATTTTAAGGCAGACCATTCCAAATTTCCCTTTAACTGAGAAAATTCACTTGGCCATTCTCAAGAGATGTGGAGTACCAGAGAAGTAGAAATTTAATTTTTTTTTTCCACGTACATTGTAGCCAGGTCGATCTAATAGCCAATGCATTCATTAATAAGCTTTTAGTTTTCAGCCCAAAACCCATATAATTTTAAATTTAATCATTTTGGTCCCAAGGAAACTGAAACAGAATCAGAATCTCCTTTTTCTCAATGGGTTTGAATATCATCTTCAACATTTCATACTTCTGGAGTTAATATTTATGCCATCCACAATTATTCTACAAAACATTCTGTGTATACTATGCCAAATACATCTTATTCTTGCTGACACAATTTACTATGAACTGATAATATTTCTGTATTGCTCTAGTTTGAGCAGCTGAGTTTTCTTTTGCCCTTGAGAATCAACCATAGATAATATCTTATTTACTACATTTGGGCAGAAAACAATGTATCAAGAACAGGCAGAATTTAGTGATTCCCAATCTATGTTTTTTTATCTGAGTTTTATCATGACAGTAAAAGGGGTTATTAAATTATTTTCAATATTTTAAAAAACCCAAGATATCAGCCACCTTTAGGTAAGTAATCTTAAAACTCAGGAAGCCCACGTTCACCAGAAATGCTGATTGATAGCTATTGAGCTGAATTTTATTAGAAAAACAATGAATGGGTATAGTTTAATATACATAATCTTTCAAAAATAGAGAACTCACAGAGATATCAAAACATAGTAAGAAGGAGTTCTAGACTGTGCAAAGATTGAGAACTACTGGTTATAGGGGCAAAAACACTGTCTTAAAAGTCAGAAAATTATTTCTAGTCCTGAGCAGGCCACTGTATTTGTCTGGGTCCCCATTTTTAAGTCTTAAAATGAAGGTTTGATCAGATAATCTTTGAGATGTCTTGCAGCTCTAAAATGTTTCCCTCTGATCTTAATATTATAAATGGCACAAATGCCCAGAGCCCACCTCTCTCACTCCTCACTCCTTGGTATAATACTCCATTCTCAACCAGTCATATCCAATCCTGATTAAAACCAAGTAGATAAGATTTCTATCTGCAAACTGGCCACCAAGATTACAAGCTTTCAGAGAGACTCTGCACCTCAGGTTGCTAATAAAGGAAACCCCAATTAAAACAGAAAACAGAACAGAAAGAAAGAGGCATACAAGCAAAGTGGCAGGTGCTGGTTTACCATTAATCTTCACAACTCTTCCAGAAGGAATTACTACCCAGGCCCTTTTTACAGATGAGGAAACTGACTTCCCTCATGCATTGAGATCCACTTATTTTACAAAATGATAAACTCTTAAATTATAAACTTTCAGAGAGCAGAGTTGATTGGTGTAACATATTCTTAGAGGCAAAGATTTGAGAGTAGGTGTGAAGAATGATTGTAAATACAGACTTGCTAAAATTTGGTTAGGAAGAATTATTTTTCTGTAGTTTTTAAACACAAAAAGCTATATAAAATGTTATACTAAACCACATACATGAAAGTCACAGAGATTAGAATAATTCAAATATATTATTAAAACTAATATAAAAGTTAATAATATTATTCAAATTAATATTTCTTGAAAGACCAGGCAGCTGCTTAAAAATCAAAACCCAAAAGACATAACTGCTGAGAAGCTCAACGAATGTTTCCTGTCTAATAATCCTGAATTTAAATTCCATTCTCACCAAATAAAGCTCTTATGTTCTATATTTTGTATTCAATTGGAAATAATCACAGAAATCTAAATCCTTTCTAAATTTAATCATACTTGTTAAATAGCCATGAACCATCATCCACTAATCCAAAAGATCTTGTTAAATAACTACATAATAATCAGTTACTCTGTTTTAAAATTAGTTGCCTGTTAAAATATTTGTACGCAGGTAATACTGACTTCAATGTACAAGTATTATACACTTTTCTAAAATAAATGTGTTCCCTTTTCTCAAAAAGTTACAGAAAGTGCAACTGAATCATAGGCCCGAGCTCAGATTAAAGTTGCCAATCCGCTTATCCAGATAAACTATTTACTTAACAGGGTTTTGCATGTATGCGTGTGTTAATTAACGAGGGTGTGTGTTTAGTGGGGACCTGGAAAACACTTCCCCAGACCTTTGACCTTGCACTGAAATATTACCAATGAACCAGTCACTTTGAGGCTCATTTTAAGGCGACGCCGGGGAAAATACTTACAGGGCTGGAGACAGCACGGAGCTCCGCGGGCTCACGGGCGGCGGTGTCACGGCCGGGTCCCCAAGCCGGCAGAACCCCGTCCGGTCACGGAACTGACCGCCGCGGGCTCCGGCGCACAAGTCCAGCCTGCCGGCGTTCGCACTACCWGGCGCTGTTTTCCGGGACACTGCAGTGCAAACAGGAACCTGCCTCCTCCTCCGAAAGCCCCCTCACCCCTTCTCACTTTGACCCTGCTGGGACCGAGAAACCCACTAACAGGCTGAGGAAGGCGCCGCAATGACCCCCCCCCCAGGGCTCCCGTGGGCCTGTTCCAGGTGCCCCGGGCAAGGAACCGTCGGGCCGCACAGCCTGGCTCCTCCGCTGCCATCCCGCGGCCCTCTCGGACCCGTCGCCGCAGAGCCCGAGCCAGCCAGGAACCAGCCCAGCGATGAGCCCTACTCACCGGTCAGGAAGCGGCTGCCCGGCGTCCATCTTAAGACCCCGCCAACATCGCGCCTTCTCATTGGCTCCTGCGCCTCAGCCAATGGGCTGCGGCCGTTCTGGCTCCAAGGTCGCCAKGGCAACGGCTTCGCCTAGCTTCCCTCTGCGTTCGGCCTGAAAGAGGCAATTGGCGTCTTTCGTCTCTTCCCCACCCCCCTCCTTTTTCTCACCGTTTTTCTTTCTCTCGAGTGTTCTTTAAGGCTTTGTTCTCTCCATTCCCTGCCTGACGCCGATGCTTCTGGGTGAGGAAAGTGCTGACTTCGACACCAAACGGAGTTCGCTCCCGGAGAGAGAAGGGTCTCGGATGCTCTGTGCTTTCTGGGACGTTTTCATTCATCCATCCTTTCCCCTTCCCTCTCTTTCCTTCCTCCCTTTTCTTTTCCCCTCTTTATCTGTGTGTGCGGTGTTCCAGGCACCACGCCACTCGGTGGCTAGCGGAAAACCGCCCAGCTCCTGCTTTGGGGCGCTCCCCAGCTGGGGCTGGGCGCCGAGCCGCGCCACCCGCCCTCGGCGGCCAAAAGTTTAGGAACTCCTTTGGGTGGAGAACACCGTGTTGGCCCTGAAGAGGGGCTCTCGGAGGAGCATAGGAAACAAGGAAAAAGCAAACGAGAAAAAAAGGCACTGTGACGAAAATAGAAAGGGCAATGTGACTGCGACCGGAGTAGGGCTGTTTTAGAAATGCTTCTAGTTTTCGAAATAGTGTTGTGTGGTAATATTAAGAATGCCTTCCTATTTTCTAGTGTTGTGTGATGGCTATATAATAAAATACACACACAGCCTTCAACCCGTTAAAAGAAAAACTTTAGACAAATTAAATTTAGCAGTTTCTTTGAGCAAATAATTGATTCATGAATGGAATAGCTCCTGAACCAGTAAAGGTTAAGAGAGCTTCATCCCTGGACGGGTAGTCATTATAGACTTTCTTTTCTTTTCTTTCTTTTTTTAAGAAGGAGGAAGAAAAGGAGGTGAAGGTGATGCAGGGAAACAGCTTGATTGATTATAGCTGAGCATTTGCCTTATAAATGGACATGGTCTGATCGGTTGGCAGACATTGAAACTCAGAGGTTGTGATTCACTGAGACTTTATATAAAATTATACTCAAGTTATGTTGCAGTTGAAGCTATATAGTTATTCAAATTAAGGAGTCTACTTTAGTCCAAATTTAAATTAAAAAACACATTACTTGTCCCAGAGTAATTTTTATTCTTAGCTATTTGTTGTTAACAATAATGCCTTTTTAAAAAAGCATTCTAAAGATGCATAAAAATTTTGCATTGCACTCAGTAATATATCTCAAGTTAACATAAAGAGACAGTTAAGCCTATTACTTTTAGAACGATTTGGAAGTTATAGAAACTACTCCTTAACTTGGCCTATCTTTTGGAAGATCTTGGAGGTCAGATGGGATATTGGTGTGTTTTTGTGGCTATGGTCCATTGTTATGCTCACATTCCCTGATTCTAGAGTACAAGCAAAGCTGAATAAGTTAAGGATCTGTATGAAACTCTTCTGGACAAACATATCCATCTTCTCTATGGGGTTCTTCTTTGATTCCAAACTCTTAAAATATTAAGCAGTTAAAAATATGTATATGAAACTGCTGTTGTAACTGTTCACATTGAGCCTCTTAATTGCCAAGTCTGCTTGGGCTGCTATAACAAAATACTACAGACAGGGTAACTTAAATAACAAATTTATTTCTCAGGTTCTAGATGCTGGAAGGGTTTACCAGAAAAAAAATATTTTATTCTGAAGCCTCTCTTTTTGGCTTGTGGGTAGCTGCCATATCTCTGTGCTCATATGATCTCTTTATGAGCTCAGGTCAGGGAAACTCTCTGGTGTCTCTTCTTGCTACTTACAAGGATACTAATTCTACAGGATCAGGGTTCATTAATTGACTTTATTTAACCTTAATTACTTCTAGGTCCCATCTTCGAATACAGCCACATTGTGGATTAAAACTTCCACATAAGAGTTTTGAGGGTACCCAACCATTCAATCCATAACAATTGCCAATGGTAGAGATGTGAGCAGAACAGGGAGAGAAAGGGCAGAGGGAGAAAAACTGTGGCCTGGCTGGGAATGTAGTAATGTTGGCGTATGGAAGAATTATTTGGATTACTTCTAGATCTTTTCCATTAACAAGTTCTCATTATTTACTTTTTATAAGTATGCAATGGATATAGGTAGAATAAGTACTCCAAAGATTTATGAACACCTAATTTCATATCAAAGGTTTTGGAAAGCCAAATATATGTATCTAAATATTAAGCTCCTCAGTGTTAATTTGAGATTTCTCAAGGATCTGATTGTGAGATGATTGGGTTCCTATAATAAAGGTAAATAATAGCTTAGATTTTTCTTCTGGTTTGAGTTGTAAGACTTTCAGTTTCTGAATTTTTTTTGCCAGTTTTCTAAGGGAAATATTGGTCATTTGATTTATTTTGATCAATAAATTTACCTTCTCTCCAGCAAATTCCTGTCCTGGAGACCTGCCAAGCCATGCATTTTGTGAATGAAATATTTGTATTTTTGAGATTTCCATGAAACAGAATTGTTGAATGCCTTTTACTAAATCATAGTGAAATACCTGATGCAGCTAGTGATTTGTGCTTGAATTGTGTTGCATCTGGCACTAATTTGAAACATGTAAGTTTCATTTAAATTATCCACCATATCTTTAAAAACACAAAGCAGTTTTTCTTTGCCAAGAAATATGAAAGTCTATGAATAGTTTTCCCTTATATTTAATAATTTTTCACAGTGTAGAGATTATAATTCACACCCATGTTGTAAAAAATTAATCAATCGTGGAATTCTTTTTGGTGGCTGCTAAATCTGATTGATGAAAAATTTCTCCAAATATAATGAAATCCTTTAAAATATTTCTCAGTTGGAAAAAAATGAATACAGTTTCATTGAACATATAATAAATGTGCTTCTTATTGAAACTGAGAAAGAGTATAATTAATTTCCTTCCATACAAAATGCCTCTTTTTCAACATTGAAGTAAAAAATGGTCTAGTCACTTGGCTAAAAGAATTGAAACCAGAGAGCTCTGACTTTCAGAAATTGTGTTGATGCTCTTCACAACAAAGGAAGGATAGTTTATCTAGAGTAATTTTTTAGGTTCACAGCCTGAAATATCCATACACAATGTTAGTCTTCCAGGAATATGTTGAATAACTAACATTATGACAAAAGAGTTGACATTTAAGGAAAGAAAATTTTAGTATAGGATGTTGCCAAGCATATATTATTTTTGTACCTTATTACATCTATATCATTGGCCATGTCTAGTATTTTCAAATTCTTCAGATCCAATGAATTGTATGTAGAGAGAAGTAGCTATTGTGCATCCATTTCACAGATAAGGAAATCAAGAGTTTAAGGAACTTAACCTAATGTGTCACATGTAGCGACGTGCAGAACCAGGGTGGGAAGTTCACTGGATTTGAAAGCTACTGGTCCCCCCACGGGACCTCGTAAGAAGAGGCAGTACAGTGCCATCAAAGTAGAGCACCATTACTGCCACATGGAATGGGACATCCAGTGGAAGCGCATGAAAAGAGCGGTTATGAAGCAAAATGTCTTTTCCCTCCCTCCTCAGTACCAAGGGAGGGATCAGATCCCATCAGAGCCCTCCTTTTCAATCATTCCTGTTTGCTACTTTGAAATCTTTGCTAGTCTCCCTTTTCCTAATACCTTTATTTTTCAACACCCCCACCCCATGTCACGCCCCCACCACTGTCTGCTTATTCCCTCTAAATGAAGGGACACATGTAACCTTTAATACAGAGCATGGCAAAAAAGAAAAAAAAAAAACAAATCAGAGCATGGCATAAAGGTCGATAGTAAATATTAGTGTCTCTTTTCCTGACATGTAAAAAATAAAGAAGCAGATGAATATTGATAGATTGCCARATTGATCCGCCAGTATCTTTGTGGTCTTTACTGTATGTCCAGTGCTTAGCGCTGTGCTAAGGTTTAAGGATTCAAAACAGTATATAACTGGTCTGTCAAGAAGTTTATAGTCTGAGATACGTAATGTGTTTATAAATGATATACTCTATCCATATATACTAAAATTGTGAGGTTCATAAAACAAGTATGAATATGGAAGTCCCAAGAATAGAAAAGTAAACTAGATGGAATTTGGCACATATTATTTTCTTTGCTTAGCATGCCTTTTTTTTTTTTAAATACCTGCAGAACTTCTTTATATCCTTCAAAACCTAGGTCAAGTATTACCTCCTGGCTTAAACCTTTCCAATCCATGAAGTTCACGCCTTTCTTCTCTGTGCCTTTATGACAGTTGGTACATAGCACTGTGGGATTTTTCAGATTGAGATACAGTTAGTTGCCATGGGTTGGTCTCCTCTGATAGATTTCGAGTTCCTCTTTGTCAGGTCGTATGTAGTGTTTATGGAGAGAATGGCAGGATGGCAGAAGTGGAAGATGCCAAGGCATGGGGTGAAAAGAAATGGGGAATGTGGTTCCCAAGCATCCTGTGAACAGACCAGAGAGGGAGGAATGCCATGGTTTAAGGAAGACACGAGAAATCAGCTTGGGCCAGACTATGGAGCCTCCCTAAGGCAAGCGGACAAGTTCTAATTGATATAGTGGAAGGAATTATAGGATTTTGATCAAGAGGGTGACATGATGAAGCAGGTGCTTCAGGGAGATTAATGGTATAGTCATGTGAATTTGAAAGATGGATTTGGAGATAGTTGAACCAATGTAAAAGCCAGAAAGCCATTGTGGAATAAATGATTAGCATCTAGACAAAGGCAATGGGAATACGGGATAAGGGGCAGTTCTGAGGATCAAGCCTGATATTTCCCCCATTCATTTATTCATCCCCACC